ATCTTCTTACTCTCGTACGTCTGCCTGTACCACAAGTTGCTGAGCAACCAGACCAAGCACCCCATGAGCTCCATTGAGGAGCTACAGTAATAAAAAGAGAGAGAGAGAGAAGGAAGTAATATAAGCTGGAGGCTATAGCATATTTTCTCTTACGTTGAGGACATGAAGCTTCTTCGCATGCTTTCTCATCCACATTCTGTCCAACACAGTCAGTACCGCCCACACATACACGAGTCCGTACACTTTTTCCACCGTTGCAGGTCTGAGAACATTGAGACCAGCTACCCCAGCTACTCCACTGACTAGCACTATCTATAAAAAATATCATTTAAAATTCCCAGTCTCTTAATTCCTTTTCTTTCTTATACCTGGGCAGTACAATGCCCTCACATGCAGTATGTCATTGTGAGAGAATCCTTTTCTTTGTCCTAGCCGTGATAAGTCAATGCTCTTGTCAATTGGTGTGATGGTTTGTTTGCCATTTTTAGAGAATGCATTAGACCCGTAATGCATGACAGAATCAAAGTCATAAGGGACTCCCTGATTCGTAGAAAGGAATGAATTAACCTTTTCAAAATTCCTCTCGAGCCCTATAGTTTAAATGGATTAGATAATTGCAGCAAGAATGGAAGAAATGAAGCCAATTAATGAGTAGGAATTTGTATACGTGTCTGCAGTAAGCATGGAAGAAATGAAGCCAATTAATCATTAGGAATTTCTATACATTCCTGTTTCACAATAACAATGATATAAGCAATTTCATTAAGTAATTAGAACAATAACAATGATATAACCATGATGAAACATGACAAACCACAGTTCTCATACTATAGCATTATATACTAAGTTTACTGTAAATTTTTGCATTATATACTATATATACCTGGCATAACATTGTCAAGGTGAACTTTCACTTTAAGATCTCTGTCAGTTCTGCTATGCTCATGCCATCTTCCAAGTGCATGGAATATCTCATGTATAACTACACCTTTACTGTAGCAACCTGGCCCTAAGTATATTATCTGCTCACCACCAATCTTACCAAAGAATGAAGAACAACTGAGAAAGGAAAGAAAATTATAAAACATCAATTAATATACAATAGTGCTTTAATTTGAGAGATTTTTATTCAGGCAAATAGTGATAATCCTCAATATTAAGACTGCCAATCATTAATGTGCATGCTCAGTAATGCACGTGTACACAAAAATCACCAAATTAAAAACTGCCAATTACGATTTCACAGCAAAATTGCTCAAATAAAGCACCACCAAAATAAAGCATTATACTGTATTATATGCATCATCATGCATACCCAGGTCCATAAGAGAATTTAATGTAGTCAGTGTCATTGATAGAGCGTTGAATGAATTTAACACAAGTCTCGTTTTCGTAGTCAAAGATAGCTTCATTAATAGCAGTTACTGCATCAGTGCCTTAATGAGAAAGAAAGAGAGAGAAAGAGAAGGGGAGAAGGAGAAGCCAGATAAAACAAAATTCATGCTGCATACAATAAATAAAAAGTATGAAATTCATACATTTACAGTTAGGCGACATTACAAATTATATTCACTACATTTGAGGGATGGGTAAAACCGTTTGCTTAACAAACATGATGAATGTTCAAAAAAGGAGAATCTACAGCCATACAGTGGGTGCCTTTGTATATACAAACATACCAAAATAATAATAAACCAACGGTGTCATAGTAAAATTTGGAAGTAGCAGATTGACATCATATCAAACTGAGTAGGTTAAGTGGGTTAAACTACTAATAGTCTAGATAGTACCCATGGCAGCATGCAGTGC